GTAGGGGTTCAAAAGGGTCAAGCAACATTAGTGGCCGGCCACCATTTTTTGGTGTCCTCCCATGTGTGTACATCACAAATATGTGGTTAAAAGTTCAAGAAAATGGCCCAAGGGTGTTCAACATTGGCTCGGAAGTGAGAAAAACGGGCGTCGGAGGGCGCCGAAGGATATATAATTGGTTGCTGAAACAATTGCTGGCCTCCCACCCTTCTACGGCCTTCCTGGTGATGAAACAGAGGTACCTGCCAAAAATGAACGAAAATCGATGCAAAACGAATGTTCGGGGGATAGAACACGCAGTTCGGGACCCCGAAAATTGCCTGTTAAGCACCGAAAGTGGCATTCGGCCACGAAGTGGGTCTGTCAAACCTCAGTGTCCCTCAAAAGGGGGTAAATAAGATGCATGCCAAAAACCGGAGTGATACGAGATGGTTAAGCGGTCCCGAACCGAGGCACACGGCCTGACGGCTCCGAAAACCGAGAACCGGGCTCCGAAATGGGCAAAATGGCCTACAGCCACAAAACGTAGCCCACAGCCACTGAGAGATAGTCCATGGGATCTTTCCCTCCCCTCAGGAAAAGAAACAGAGAAAACCGAGTCTAGTTCGCAAACCGAGGCAAGGCACAGAAAAAGGTTCGGAAGTCCGGAGGCAGGGCTCACGGCCAAGACTCTGAAACTTCTGAACGAGCACATTATGCAATATCACCAAGCACTCAACTGGTGACATCTGAGTCTCAAGGTCGGTCAAAAATGGGGTGTCTACATGTTGTCACCGAAGAAACTGGTAAAGTTAGAACAAGACGAATTAATCTATCGACAAGAGGATAAATTGTTGACTTCCTTGTTGTTACCAACATTTGGCACAAGTTAGAAATTATCAACAACTACTGAAACTCAGGATGTTTAAGAATGTCAATCTCGTAGTTTTGCAATTGGAATTTCAAATGTATTTTTTCTTTCTCTGTAAAGTCATTAGGATAAAATTGATTTGCAAGCTTGCATATGTCTTCAATTTTGAACGAACTGTAATCATCCCTAGGATTTAAAGCAAAGCTAAGAATAAGCAACTCCATCACATCTTCTTTGAATCTTTTGTTCAATTCTTGTAATTGAGAATCACATATAATTGTAAAAATATCAACCCGAAAATGATGCTCAATAGTAATGTGATCTCTTTGGTGACAAGCACGACCTCTACCAGATGTGTAACGAGCACTCATATCAGGAATATCTATGTCATATTTTTCACAAAATAGTTGAACCTTCTCCAACAAAGGAATCCATCCATCTTCTCTATAATTTTGAACAAGTGCTTTTGTAGTTGACACTAGATGCATTGCATTCAATATATCTTGGGATTTACGTTGCAAAGCTTGGCAAAGATCATCAGTAGTACCCATAATATCTCTCATCAGATGTAAGATAAACGCAACTCAAAAGATGTAATCTTATCATAAACTTCATCTGCATCTGCACGTTGAGTAGAGGTGGCTCCATCATTGATGACATTACTTAAGACTGAACAAGTTGCACTAAACATATTTATCAAACTGAAAATAGATCCCAAGTGAGAACCCCATCGAGTATCTCCAGGTCGTTTCAATGTCCCAACTTAATTTTTGCCTTTACCAGTTTTAACTTCATCAATGGCAAGTTTTGCTGCAATTTCTTCAGCTTGTGCATCTTTTAACTAATCATGCCTTTTACAAGAAGAGCCACATAGATTAACTGTGAGAGCTAGATAAGAAAAAAATTGGGCAACAAGTATAACCTCTTTTGTTGCTGCTACCAATGCTAATTGGAGTCGATGAGCAAAGCAATGAACATAGTACGCAAAATGACAATCATGAAGAAATAAGGCATGTAACCCAGTCCACTCTCCACACATATTACTAGCACTATCATATCCTTGACTACGAATACTTTGTACACTGAGATTATGACGAGATAGGAAAATACATATTTCTTCTTTCAAAGTTGCTGATGTTGTATCTGATACATGAACTATGTCAAAAAAACGCTTCTTCATAAAACCATCTTTATCAACAAATCTTAGAACAATGGCCATTTGCTCCCTCTTTGATTCATCTCGAGCTTCATCTACTATAATGCAAAATTTTTCTTCATCAACCTCCTCACGAATGAATCTTTGTATTTTGTCAAAGAAAATACTAAGAATCTCTTTTTGAATTCGATGCAAGTAGTATGAAGCATTTTGAGGAGCTTTGTGTAACACAGCATCTGCCTCATCCGCATTATAAGGTGCCAAGAGCTTTATCAATTCAATAACATTCCCTCAATTATTAGAATCATGACTTTCATCACGACCTCTAAATGCACAAGCTTAAAATGTAAGCCATTTGACAACATCTATTGTAGTCTTCAACCGTAAACAGTTTTTTGCAACTTGTTGAGAAGTTTGTTTCTCAACTATCTTCGTAATGTGTTGCGCGTGATTTGTTAAATCATGGCAAGATTTGACAACAATTCTGTGCGATGAATTAGGACCCTTTCCTGTATGAGTTAAGAAATCACAATTCTTCCCACTATTGACTTTCTTCCATAAAGAAAATCCATCAGAAATGAAAGCGCTAAAAGTAGTGCGTCCATTCGATTTTGTAAAAAGATAACAAGGAAGACAAAAGGCACAATGTTTGGTTGGAGAATATTCTAGCCAATCTGGAAATAACTTGTACCAAGAAGTTAGAAAATGACGCCCATTCCTCTCTTCAAAAGGTTGGTTGTCAGGTTGGTATGGTCCAAATTTGATGTAAGCTTGTCGAATCTCATCGCGTTGAGATATCAAATAATCCCAAATTTGTGGTCGTAGTCCTGGATCCCTTACCAAAGAAGATGTATCAACTTCTTTGGATTCTATTCTAGGCACTTTACAAGGACATTGTTCAGGAATTTAAGCTTCAACATTATCAGTGGAAGGTTTTGTAGTTGCATTAACTTCTATATCTTGAGAGCCTCTTTTCTTAAAGAAAGAATCAATTTTTTTGTTCACCATAATTCACCTAACATTCAACTCAATTTTATTTAAGAACCTGAAAATTATTAAACAATTTTTGTTACTCACTAGATAAGAAGCACACTAACAATATAATCCAATCTCATAAAGGACATGTCAATTTCAATGGGTAAATAATAAAAATCTTTAGAGTAATAGAATTTCTAACCCTAACGAGGTAAATAGCATCCAAATTGAAGTGAATTGCAACAAAATTTGAGATATTTAAGCCTATTCATCTCTGAGAAATTAAAGATATTTATTATTATTATTATTATTTAAGCCTACAGTAAATGCTTGGTTTTGCAACCAAAGCAAGAGAAGATTTCGATTTCATTTTCATTAGTTTTCCTCCAGTTTCTTAGTAACCAAACTGAGTATATCCAGATTCTTGTTGTTTCCAAAAATGAGATTAATCATTTTAAAAAAATCAGACAACAAATGAGTGAATAAATTTGAAAAAAAAATAGAAAAGATTAGTATTACCTAGAAGTGAAAAAGGAATCAGAGGACGCGAGCTCTGATTCACTGTATTGCCTCCATTTGTTGTTTCAGTGCGAGCCTGCGAGGTTTGTGAGTTCGTTTCCAAGCTTTCATATCATTTACACACACGCACGCACGCACACACACACAGAGTAACGTGGATAAGGGGGCTTAAACAATTAGGTTAATAAGAATCTGGAGGCATTTTCAAGCATGGGGCAGGTTACACGTGAGTAGTATATATTTATATATATTTTATTTAGTTATAACCAAACAATTAAAAATTTTGGGCCCTAATCATACAAAAAAGACTTTAATGTATTAACAAATAAATTTTCAATTATTTTAACATTACTAAATTTAAAATAAAAGGTAATCATACTAAAAAAATAAATTATTATTATTATTATTTTTAGCATTTATCAAAAAATAATTAAAATTTTAAATTTTAAAGTAGAAAATTTTGGGGGTGGTGGTTCTTAAAATTTTTGCAAAAACTTTGGGGTGACGAACTTATATAATTTAAAAATATTTGTAATTTTAATACTATATCTAGGAGATTTTTTCAAAACTTTTGAGGGGCGGTCCCCCGCCCCCCATCGGCGCCCGGTTCATCCCTGAATTAGATTGTATTTTAGGAGTGATGGCCAGTATATTGGTATCTCAACAAACCACTAAAATTCAACAATATTATATTCATTTAATTTATTACCTCTAAATAATCTTTAATGACGTGACATTAAAATTAGACCTTACATAATAGAATATTTGACAAAGGGTGGCGCTTATGCCACGCATGGAAAGTATGGAGCCACGCACTCTTATCCTCATATGACATCAGCTATAATTTGACTACTGATTTTTTACACAATTTTCCTAAACTGCCGCTTTGTAAGACTTTTTGTTTGCCTAACTACCCAGAATTTCTATCAGTCATTCACTTTTCCTTTCATCCCAATTTGACATCACAATGAATTTTTTACTCAAGAAAATTAGTCTCTCTCTCACCTCTCAGGTATATATACTCTACTATCTATTTGTATTTAAATATTTAGAATTGATTTAGTTTTTTATTATTATTTATTTTATGTGAGTTTTAGAATTTTCTATGAAGATATACGAATGAACTATATAATTTTTATGCTTACCTGATTTATGATTTTTATTTTTTGGGGGGTTCATGAGATGATTAACAGTAAAATGAAAAATAAAAAAAAAACATTCACTTTGTTTGGTTCCTTTTTTCCAAAAACACTTTTCAGAAAATTCATTTTCTTGCTTTCCGTATTTTTTTTATTTTTACTGAATTTTTAAAATTTTTTAAGCAATTTTTTTTTTTTACTTTTTTGACATACCTAACATAAATATACTTAAAAGGTAAAAAAAGTTGTGAAAAAAACATTTTAAAAATTCACTAAATACCAAAAATAAAAAAAAAACGAAAATTCAGTACATTTTTTTATATTTTTATGTATTTATTAATTTTTTAAATATTTTTTCACAAATGTTTTACTTTTTAGACACATCTAAGTAAGGTGCATCTAAAAAAGTAAAAAAAAAATTTACTGAATTTTTAAAATTTTTTAAGCAATTTTTTTTTTTTACTTTTTTGACATACCTAACATAAATATACTTAAAAGGTAAAAAAAGTTGTGAAAAAAACATTTTAAAAATTCACTAAATACCAAAAATAAAAAATAAAAACGAAAATTCAGTACATTTTTTTATATTTTTATGTATTTATTAATTTTTTAAATATTTTTTCACAAATTTTTTACTTTTTAGACACATCTAAGTAAGGTGCATCTAAAAAAGTAAAAAAAAAATATTTAAAATTTTAAAAATATTCACTAAAAAAAACACGAAAACCAAAAAACTCAATTTTCAAAAAATTTAATCCAAAAAACTCAAACCAAAAACACTGATTAATTTGAGCTTACCTTTTAACTCTAAGATAGTGTTTGGTTCAATGAAAGGAAGGTGGATTGAAGTGGAATTATCATTCTTTAGCATCCTTATGAATTGACTATTCACTTTCAATAGTGAATGATGATTCTATTTGTATAATGTATTTTCTATTTTTTTAGTTAACCGAACATAGGAATGAATATTGATGATCATTATCTTTTTCATTTCATTATAATAAACCAAACATATCGTAAATAGTTGATTTTTAATTATTTATTTATAGAATTATTTTTAATCAATTTTATAACATGAATATGTGACAATTGGTTATGTATTTCTTTATAATGTAGATCTCATAAGGAAGAATCATGAATATTGAACAATCAATTGACTGTGTCAATGAAAGGTTATGTGATCAAATTGAACAAGATGGAATAAACATACAAAGTCAGGGAAGGGAAGAAAATGGGCAAATGAGATACTTGGAAATATTGGTTGGAAATTTCAATTTCGTGAAGAGCTCTTTGATACTGTCTGAGAATTTTTCTCAATTCAAGGGTATGCAATATCTATTAAAAACTCCCAAAAAGATAGATATGTGACCATTGGTTGTGATAGAGGTGGTTGTTACCAAAATAAGTGGCATGTTCCATGGAGCATCGACAAAGGCAAACGGCTACTCGTCTTATTAATTGTCCCTTTGAAATTCAAAGTAAGAGACAAAGTGATGGGTTTTGGGTGCTTGAAGTAAAAAATAGCTCACATAATCATGAGCCTTCTAGTGACATGTCCGGACATCCTTCTTGTCATCGTTTATCCAAAGAAGAAGTTTTGAGCATTGAAGATATGACTAGATCAGGGATATCACCGAGCCAAATTCTTTCTTCACTTAGACAAAGGAATCCGAAGCTTCAAGCGGTATCAAGGACTATATACAACATGAAGGCTAAACTTCACAAAGATAACTTGGCAGGGCGAACCATGAATTTTTTTTTT